TTATTGTTTGCTTCATCGTTTAGTGAAACACGATTCTATATAGAAGTGTATAGTTATCAACATCACTAAATTTGCAGGATAAAGATCTTAAACCAAGCTGCCTCTTGACATCCATTCATAATTCATACAACCACAGCACAGAAACTACAGCATGAGGAAAGGTTGGCTCAAAGAAGAACTGCTCTCAAACCAAACTAAGAGCAAATTTTGAACTATACTAAAGTTTGGTGCAGTGGAAATCATGGTGCTTAGCCAGAGAAAACCAAGAAACAGCTAAGGAACATATGCAGCACATTCACTGCAACAACTAGAAGATAAATACGATTTCGACGAGATAACTGCAGTAATGGTGGTGTTGCAAGTTCTGTTTTCCTAGGGAAAGCTTTCAGCCATTCATATGCATCTTATTTTCATTATTATTTATGTCCAAACCTTTTAAGACGCTACAAGTTACATCTTAAAATCCAAAAGCAAGTAGCGACCGTCAGAAGATATACATATATAATACAAATATCACATACAAAGTCAGATTGATGGCAGCCCAATGTAGACCACCTTCTGATACACTTCTTGCCCTGCATTTTAGTTTTACATTTTTCTATATCCTATTTGAATATTATTAAGCGCAACTACTGTACATTGGGGAGATGTTACCAGAAACCATCATCAACGGCCACTGCAGATGGAGGATAAGGATCATCCTCTTCTTCCATCTCCAATTCTGGTTCAGGGGATCCGAATTCAGTCAGCTCAACAGCAGCAAGGTTCTTTAGGTCAATGATTGAGAGCTCATCAAGGTGCCTCACGACCAAGTCAGCAGCACCAAGCTCATACACTGGATGTTTGCTGGCAACAGCGACACACTTCATCTGAGCATCATGTGCAGCCTCCACAGTTTGATTTGAGTTCCCGAACACAATACACCTCTCTGGTATGAATTGTAGAAGCTGTGATGCATAGACAAACATCTCCGGATCAGGCTTCCCTCTGTGAACATCCTCTGCGGCTACAATGACACTAAAAATCCCTTCAAAGCCAATGGTACCAATTGCATTCTCGACATACTTTCTTGGGCGTGTAGACACTAAAGCCATTGGCACCTTGTAGTGCATCAGGGTACTGACAAACTCCTGTGATCCAGGTCGGAAGCTATAAATTCCCCCCTGCAGGCCTTGATAAATATCCTCCTTCCGAGTAGCCATTCTCTTCACTTGAACAGGATCTCTTGACCAGCAGAGAACTTCTGATATCGCTTGCTCATTCTTCATTCCTTCAATTCTCTTCAAAATAAAACCCGGAGGCGGTGATTTTCCTTCTTCCTGAGACAGAGCTAACCACGCTTGCTTCTCAAGATCTGGATTGTCTTCAGTTAACACACCTTCCCATTCAAATATAGCTGCTAACCATCCACAGCCCATCCTCTCTTGTCTAAGCAATGGATTATGAAGAGCTGGATTATCAGCTTTATTCGTTGGTGGCCATTTCCCTGGCTTTTTATCCACATCAGTCTCAATCCTATAACGGAAATCTTTCGATAATCTCTCGTCCTCTCTGTACGAAAATGCCTCTTTGGTTAATTCCATCGCCTGACCTCTAATCAACGAATACCTCACACAATCACCTCTTAATCTCAGTAAATTAGAACCACAAACAAGCTTTCTGCCAAGAAAATCGGCAGAAGGTAATCGACATACATCAATCGACTTCCGTTTACTCGACACATCTTTGCTACAATTAACTCCATAAACTGGCACCCTCCCTAAGAGTGATATTGCACCAATTGATTCAACCATCCTCACTAACTAATCTTCCACCCCAACAACACCAAATCTTTAACTTCAAAGAATCAAACTTTCCACCACAAAACCTCTCAAATCACCCCAACTTAACACAATCTCAACAAATCCCACAAACCCAATAGAACTTTCAAACTCCCCCAAATCACCACAGAACTAAAGGGACAAAAGGGAACAAATAAAGCAACCCTTTTAACAATAAAGATCCAAACTTTACTCAATACCCATCATTAAACAACACAATACAACCCAAATTTCGTCCACAACACGCCAATTCAAGAATCAACACGTAATAAGTAGATTACTTAAAGGAAAAGGAAAGATAAGAGCAACCCACCCAAACCCAAATCAAAATATACACAAAAAAAAAAAGGAAAACCCCAAAAGATTTCACACAAATAAGATTATCCTAATAGAAAAATCTTAGATTTGTGAACAGTATACACTAATAAGCTAAAAATTCAATTTTTTTTATATTTACAAAGAGATAAAGATAGGAGGAACCTGAGGTGAATTGGGGAAGAAAGCAAAATACACAGAAAAGATTTTTTTTTTTTTTTGGTTATTATGAATAGTTCTGGTATTTGGAAAATTGTGTATGTGTGGTTTATAGAGAAGGAGAAGGAGAAATTGAACCGGTGAACCGGCCACTACTGAACCGGTGAACCGGGAGTTGCCGGCCAAGATTGAACCGGGTCAATAAAAGGACATGTCGGTTTAAACTTTGGTTGCTTTCACCTTTGCCCTTATAGTTGAGTTATTTCATTTTTTGACCCCTATAATATGAAGTATTATTCCGTTTAGTCTATAAATATTTTTTAATTCTAAATATTTAATATAATTTCTCATACTTTTATGATGGAACTAAAATTTTAGTCGATTTTCTTAACAATATAGTGTTGTTGACTCGTTTTTTTTTAATTATACACATTATTTTTCGTTGAAATTCAATGATTTTATTAAGATTACATTATATATAGTTGAAATATAACATATTTTAAGTGATTAATTATCTACGTAATGAGTATTTGAAAACACCTTAGAAAAAGTCAAAAGTTAATTGAGATATGTCTAAGGATCTACTACTTATATTTGAGGTTAATTTGTGTAATTAAAAGAATTTGACATATTTTAAGTGATTAATTAATTTATGTATAGAAATTTGAGAACACGTAAAAAAAATTTCAAAATTCGAATAAAAATATCTGATAAAAAACTATATCATGTGTTTAAATGTTCAATAAAAAAATTAAAAGAGAAATAAGATGGAAAAAATAAGAAGATAATTATGACCCTCCCACCCCCACTTGTTTTTTTTCTTTATTTTGGGTTATGTTTCCTCTAGTGGGATCTAATGAAACATCAACCACAACAATGGGAGCATCCATTATTGTTGGAGCATGCATTGTTTCCTTTACTCTAAGATCAATTATTTTAATAGGTTAGCAAAATTATTGCAACTCAATAATTAAACTATAGTTGCTAAAGTAAGTAAAAGTGATCATATTATAAAAGTACTTTATAACTCAAAAGACTTTTTTGTGGTTATGGATAATATTGTTGATGAAAAAGCCAATATATTAGAGTTTGGTATCATACCTAACCAAGAAAATAGGGAATCCCATTAAAGAAGAAAAAGGGAGTATTTCATTAAAAATATGAATATAGAATAGTAAACAATTCGGCGTGTAAATAAAAAAAAATTTAGTAAAATTTATCAAAAATAGTCTATCCATCTCAAAAACGTAAAAAATAAGGCAATATAAGATTATGATTTTGAGACTTTTTCACACTAATAACATTTTATTGAAGGAAGATATTCACACTACTCAAGATCAACCTCATAAAAATCTTATATTTTTTAGGAGGTTTTATCACATGAGCCATCGATAAATGGATTTCGTGAAATATCAACTATATCCAATCTTGATTAACCTTTCACTGTTAGCCAGGAGTACTCATTTTTATTTTTTTTTGTGATATATGTGTGTTCGATTCTTACGTACATTTTATACTCCTGAGACTTCACTTGTGAATATTGTTGTAGTACTAAACAATTATTGATGCTTATAGTATTTTGAAATAATGAGTTTAAAAGTGGTCTTTTTCAAACATTGAATTGAAGTCTATGGAAAAGAGTGTGAGAAAATGTCCCATTCATCTAATCAGTAATCACATACGTTATTCCATTTATACTTTGCACATATAATTGCTCTTAATGTAACCATCATGTTAATCAAATATATACTATTTATTGTTACATAAATATTTGGTTAACTAACATTATTTGCTACTAATGTAGATGTTTCTAGATGAATTTTAAAAGAAGCAAACAATGAAAACAAATTCTTGATTTTTCAAATGAGTGAAATTAAAGTGATAAGTATTCATTCATCTTTAATCAGAGGTCTCGGCTTCAAGTCTTTTTGGCTACATAGTCGCATTTGTTATAGAGCTTTACCCTCTTCTAATGTAAGACTTTTCAATGCGAATCCAAATTTAATCGAACTCTAATATGAATATCGAACTCTAAGAGAAAAAAAAAGAAAATTTAAGTTTTAAAAAGATAGAAAGAATATTTTGGTGACTTAATTGTTGTGACAGACTTGACTAGCACTAACTCAATAAAATTACAGAAAGTTCCAAAACTAGATATAACCACCAATAGAAATATCAATTAGGTAAACAATCTATATGAATTGTTATGGGATGGTTCAAATACCCTACAAGTTTCAAATTCGTGCTTTTGATAGTGAGAAAAAATCAATTGAAAGTGTTCCTTAAAAATAGATTCTACGATGTACAATTCAGATTTAATCAGAATCACACAAATTAAGATTTTTTTGTTTGTTATAATTGTTGCAAATGAATCCAATTAGACAATGAATTCCTAAGAACCACGTGGTTCCACGTTGACATAACAACGTGTCAAACTTAAATTCATTAAAATCTACCAAATGTCAAATTTGTTGAAAGGAAACAAATATTTAAAAACAAGTTTCTAGAAGTTTTTTTTCTTTCAAATTACAACCATGGGAATCTATTGACTATTAAATAGTTATTTTATTTGACATTATCTGATTATTAAGTAAATGTCAAATATGGGAGATATTGACTTTAAACTAAACAATATAATAGTAGAACACATTAATAATTGTTTGAAGAAGATAATTAACTAAAACTAGCCTCAATCCTCAATAATTCATAATTTGAGAGCAGTCGTGTTTGTGATATTTTTTACTTTGTTATTCGTATACTGCTTTATTAATCTCTTTTTTCTTTGTAATATTTTATTATTGTGAGTTTAGATATATGAAGGCAAAATATAATTTTAGATCCAAATATTTTAATTTCTCAAAACTTCAGACTCATGAATACGGGCTTTAAGTAAAGCCAGCCCAATATAGCTTATATCAGTTTCATGTACCCAGAAGAAGTCGGCGGCGGCTCCCTTTAACGACTCCGGCGACGGCGGAAAACTTTCTCCGACGGAGATAATGGGTAAGAAATCATCGAGGAAGAATGGAGTGGGTAAAGCACCTGGTTCAATTACATTAAGAGAGGAATCAGGTGTGAAGAAGAAACAAACTCATGTTAATGCGAAATTGATGCTGAAATTGGAGCATATAAAGGATATTGCTGCCTGGGCTAGTGGCGAAGGTTCCATACCTTCACTTGGTGCGTTTTTTGGGCAGAGATTAGCTGTATCAACTGAGTCTTTGGGTCTTCCACCTGACCCTTCACTATTTACTTGTCAAAGGTTTGAGCTTTTTACAAAATTTTGGTTTGATTTGTCTTGCATTTATGAATACATACTTTGTTAATTTTGTGATGGGTTGAAAAATGGATATTTGTTCATTAATGGATGTAGGGGCATCGTAAGAGAGATAAGATTAGAGATGAGTACAATCGGCATAAGTTAAGAGTGGTTTTTGGTGGAGGACAAGATGCGGGAAGCTAGACTGAGATGTTTCAGGCATGGAGATGTAGATGCACAAATGTGTGGAGGCGTGAGAGGTTGGCTATGGATGGTTTCGGGAGAGGTGATTAGACTAGCCATGATGTAGTTTTAGCTTATTTCTAGAGGTTGTACGAATAACTAAATAGAACTACAGAAAACCAAAAAAATAACTTGGTCTCATCTTATTTATACCTAGTTGGTATTTTTATATCTCAGGACTCGGATTCTGGAAGAGCACTCATGTGTTGTTTTAGTTCTTCACATTTATGTGTTATATAGTATAATATCCTTCAGACATAGCATCCCGAACTCCAAATTTTCCGCGCTATTTTGAGCTTTGGTAACAACTATTTATGTCTGGAAAAGGCAGAATACATACACCATCATCAAGAATTAGCTAACTCCTGAGCACACAAAGTTGTTTTTACTACTTCTGATTTCTCTTATTTTTAATCACAATGTATGTGTGGAGTTGATTTAATCTGCTTAAAAGCTTATAATCACTTTGAATTTTGGCCACTTTCATGTTGAATGAGTCATAGTCAACTTTTCATCCATTTTTCTAGGCTTGCATACTAACTTATAATCGATATTTCACAGGTGTGAATCTATCCTTCAGGCTGGCTATAACTGTACATCACGGATTGAGAAAAACAAAAGAAAGGCACGAAAGAAACGCAAGACATCTGGTATTCCTCCCAAGAACTGTATTGTATATGAGTGTCATTTCTGCTCACATCAGAATCTAAAGAGAGGAACCCCAAGAGGCTATATGAAAGACCTATATCCTGTCAAACCAAAAACTTCAAGAGTTGACCCTACTAAATCAGCAATCCGAAAGACAAAAGTTGATCCTACTGAATCAGCAATCCAAAAATCTGAACAATTGGATATGTTAGTGGCTAGTATTGATAAGGCAAGAGTTGATCCTACTGAATCAGCAATGCAAAAGTCTGAACATTTGGATACGTCAGTGGCTAGTATCGATAAGACAAGAGTTGACACTATTGAATCAGCAACCCAAAAGTCTGAACAGTTTGATGCTTTAGGGGGCAATACCATAGATGTAATAGTTTCGTCTGAACTAGTTGGAGATGATCTTATGGCTGGTCTTGCAACTCCATTGTCAACAATTACGGTTACTTCTTTGTTGGATTCAAAGAAAAGGAAAAGAAATAGAACAGGGTCTAAGAAGAAAGTTGAACCTCGGGATGGTTCATCATCCATGACAGATGCTGAGAAGACTGTCTCAACATCCAGTAAGAGAAAGAAGTCTTGGACTAGTTTGAAGGAAATTGCTGAAAGTCAGAGTAGCAATAGTAGGAAGTTCTCCAATATATCTGTTCCATTTATTCTTTGATTGTGAGAATTGTATTGTTGCCCGTCGAGCACCCCCTTTTTTTTTTTTTGGTTTCACACCTGGTGTCCGGAGCTCATATTGGCACGCCCCGACTAAATTCAGATTGCGCACCGGAGGTCCATTCGGAGCGGCACTTCCTACCAGTACCAGAATTTTCTCTCGTAAGTTGTAACAGTAGTTTCTGTCCAATAATATATGAGTATTTAGTGTACTTTGACAATTGTTTATTTTTAAAATTATTTTATTATTATGACAATTGTTTAGTTTCTTGTTGATTTATAAATTTTTTTGGAACGTTGTTGATTGTTTAACTAAATGTTCGTCTTACCAACATGGGTTGTGGTGCACTAGTGGGAGTGCGTCGCCCTTAACCAGAGCCGAGCCCTGGGTATGGAGAAAATCTTTGTTGGGAGCACCACTCCCGAATGGGCCCTGCAGAGTGCGATCTGAATTTAGTTGGAGCTCCAATGTGGGCTCCGGACGGGTGAGAAATCAAAAAAAAAAAAACTAAATGTTCGTCTTACCTAAAAGAAGTACTCTTTAAAAATAAACAAAATATATGAATTAGTGTGTGAAATTAATCCGAATATATGTGGTTTAAAAATATGGTCATAGTCATAGATAATGAGGAATTTCATTATGTGCGCCATAAAAGGTAAAATTTTGTCAAGATTTTTTTTTTAAAAAAAAGATGTTTCTTAATCTTAAGAATAAGTGTAAATACAAATTATACAATATTAATTAACATAAATTATACAAAAATAAGTAACTTTAAAAGTCTAAAATTGTTAAGTAATGGAAAAAGAATAAATATAACTAATAGGGGAATTTTCGTATAAGTCACTTAAAGATAGCTTAATTATGCTCCATAGCTATAGTTCGCTAATTACGATTCGTAGCTACATGTTAGAGGGAGGGGAAAAGCGAGCCAGATTGGGAGAGGCGAGTGAGAGAGGGTAGAGAGTGGAGAAAGGCGAATTGTATATGTATATCGGGTCGAACTGTACATGTATATCTATCAAATAATTGTATATATGTAATTGGTATACACATGTATGTGTATATCTGACGAGCGGGATTGGGAGAAGGAGGAGAGAGGCGAGTGAGATTGGGAGAGGGAGGCAAGAGGCGAGCGAGATAGGGAAGAGAGTAGAGAGAGACGAATTGTACATGCATATTTGTCAGATAATTGTGTGTGTGTATATATATAATTGGTATATATATGTATTTGTATATCTGACGAACGAGATTGAGAAATGGAGGAGAGAGGCGAGCAAGAGCGGGAAGAGAGTGGAGAGAAGCGAGTTGCATATGTATATTTGTTAGATAATTGTATATGTAATTGATATACATATGTATTTGTATATCTGACGAGGGAGATTGGGAGAGCGAGAGAGGGCAGAGAGACTAGTTGTATTTGTATATGTGTCATATTTTTGTATTTGTATATGCGTAATTTGTATTTGTATATGTATAAAAGAGGAGAGAGGCGACATAATTACAGCTAAAATTAAGCTGCGAGCGAGAGAGGACAGAGAGTGGAGAGAGACTAATTGTATTTGTATATGTGTCATATATTTGTATATGTATATGCATAATTTGTATTTGTATATGTATAAAAGAGGAGAGAGGCGACATAATTACAGCTAAAATTAACATGCGAGCTGTAATTAATTTAAACTATAGCTATATTAGCTAATTAACTAGTATATGTTTGCTTATCCGCATAATTTTCCATAACTAATATATAATAATTGGAGTAAAATAAATTAAAAAATCGAGATGTAATTTATTTAAATTTGAATGGCTAACAGATATGTTGATTATATTGTGTATTTATTATTATAAAATTACTAATTTTTTAAACTGTTTTTAACTTTGTGAGGTAAGTGTTAAAGATTATTTTTCCAATGATTCACTCACCTCATTTAATACCGTGAAAAGAAGTAATTTTTTGTTAAATACCGTTATCAAAAAAGAAGTTATCATAAAGATTAGCTAATGCATTATCCAACCAATCGATATCTTATCAATTGACTAACGGATTAGCATTTTAAATAAATAACCAATAGATCATATTGTTAAACAAAATTATATGCATTGTTCCACTCGATAAACAACCTAATCAAACACCCACTTACTATATAAAACAACCCTAGTAGGGAAATAAAATCATCACCCAAACTTTGAGAAAGTCAAAATATATTGCCGCCGAATACAGGGACGAAGCCGGATACGGTCAATAGGACTTATTCGAAAATGAAGCTAGATATGGATAAAGTCAACCGGGTTTATCCGAAAATGAAGCCAAATAAAGTCAATGTGGTTCATTCAAATTTCAATCTACAATTTTTTTTTTTTTATATTTAATTAAATTACCTTTAATATTTATATACTAGATATTGTTTAACTTTTATGTGTTTATTTAATCATAGTTCAAACTCATTTTAGTGAAAATTCTGACTCTACTGCTGGTTAATTGTGCTTTGTTGAATAATAGCAAATCTATAAATTGATTGATTTATTTGTACAGTCTAACAGATTCCACCTTTACTCGACACTTGTTGCTCGACTCACCACATCGCCGCCGTAGCAAACGGAAAAATGGGAAACCGGCGGAATGCAATGGTTGCGGTAAGCGATGACGAGGATGACGTGCCGCTGTCATCGCGGGCTACACGCGCCTCCAGCAACGGCGAAGAGAAAGCGAATCAGAGGAAGAGGAAGAAAGTGAGGCTCGACGAGGAGGAAGAAGAAGAGGAGGAAGCGAATAACGAGGATGAAAGTAGAGATAAGAGGAGGACGAAGAGGAAAGTACCGGAGAATGAGGAGAACGAGGAGGAGGAGGAGGAAGAGGAGAGGGGAAGGGGGAAGAGGATTAAGAAACTGAAGAAAGTTGAAGAAGAAGAGGAAGAACCCGAACCGGTTAAGGAGGAGGAGGAAGAAGAACAGCAAGAAGATGCTAAGCCTATTGGTGAGGTTATTAGGGTTACTGGAAAAGGAAAAGGGAGGAAAACCCATTACGAGTCGTTCGAGTACGATGGAAATCGCTACGAACTTGTGAGTTTTTCATTTATTTGTTTCGTTTCATCAAAAAATGCTTTTGAATAACTCTAGGAAATTAAATTGATTGAAGATTGGTTTTTGTTTTTACAAAATTACTTCTCATTTCCTTGTCTGGTAGCTGAATTAGGGTTTGAACTGTGATCACACATAGGTTTGTCTTTAGTATGATGAAAGAATTGATGCCTTTGAACTGTGTAAAAGAGACAGCATCTGGCAGAAATGCAGGGTAACACCTTGTTTGGATGGTTACTACCTGTTGTATTGTATGGTATCTTTAAATCCATTGTTTACAAAATGAGAAGAAAATACAAATTGGTGGTTACATAAAAAAGATCTTTTTGTCGTTACCTAATGATGGATTTATGGTATTTTTAAATCCATTGTTAAGTAACGACAAAAAGATCCCTTTATGTAACAATTGATTTGGTGTGATCGTGTCGTTACCTTAATATTTTCTTCTCATTTTGTCTTGAATTATTGTTTAATAATTATATTTTATCTTTTATCCTACTTTTTCATAGTAGCTCTACCCCGTATCCTGTTTTTATTATAGGTTTATCATTCAAATTATGGAACAATATGTAACAACTATCCAAACAAAGTGTAAGGCTGCGAGCAATAGAGCCTTGTGGTCTGACCCTTCCCTCTCCCCCCTCCCCGTACACCGTGAATAGCCGGAGCTTAGTGCATTGGGCTGCCCTTTGCTTCTGATGCTTATTAGCAGAGCTCATATTTCTTTACAATATACAAATTGTTACTCCAGATTACCGGCTTCAACCAACACTACATTAGTCTCAACCTTCGATGTAAAGAAATATCTCCAAATCACTATTTTCCTATCCTGTCTTTCATCTCATTTGATTATGATATGTCATTTATATTTGTACCTGACTAAACATTGGAAAATAGTAAAAATGATGTAAAAACACTTTCCATGAAAATTATTTTCCTTGGCAAACATTTCATCCATAATGTTTGAAGGAGGTGATTTCATGGGTCCACTCTGCCCCTTAGAGTTTGTTTGGATTGGCTTAAGAGTTGGTCAAACTTACTTTAAAGTCATTTTTAGCTTTTAGGAGCGTTTGGTAAAGTTAAAAATAACTTAAAATGGCTTAAATTTTTTTTAAAGTTAAGTTAAAAGTAGGTACTTTCATTTTTTAATTTATAAGTTACTTAAGTTTGACTTTCTAAAAACTACTTTTAAAAAGCTACTTTTTTAAGTTAAGCCAAATGGGCTCTTAGTCTCTTAAGTGATATACCTACTGTTGACCTATGATGTTTCTCTCATTACTAATATGTTCTTATACAGGAGGATCCCGTGCTCTTGGTTCCAGAAGGACAACTTCAGAAGCCTTATGTGGCAATTATCAAGGTAATTCCTTTTCCCTGGAAGATGCAAAACTTTTTTGGTAACTGTATGGCATGAAGTGGGTGTAAACCTTGGACATCAGGGTTCAAATTCCAATAGAGATAAAAAAACATAAGGTGATTTCTTTCCATTTGCTTTGAGCCTTGGTGGGCAGCATAAGTTGGCCCTAACACCACTGTTAACCAAAAAAAAAAGAGATTGGTTTTGGTGATTAGAGATATGTACATATTATGTGAATAAATATACTATTTCCTGTTCAATTATCAAGAATGAAGTCAGTTACACTATTGCTTTTGGTTGTAGTGTACAATCTGAGCTTATTCAGAAGCTTATGTATTAGGAAATTATCCTTTCTACTGTGAAATTAGGGCATTCAATTTGACATGGATCTCTTTTGCGATCTTGCCTCTTCTAGTGCACCATCAGAGAATACTCTCTCTTTGGTGCTGCTTCTGAAAGTCTGAATTAAACTTCCTGAGCTGGGAGTACAAAAGGGAAGGGGTAAGTACAGAAGCAAAGCATTTAACTGTAGCCTAAGAAGGAAAGAGCAGACGAACAGTAACTAGTCTGGAAAAAGATAATAATTGCCCTCACCCATATACCAGCATCTATATTAAAGTTGGGTGAAAAGTGGGGGGTAGTTGCTGGAAGGTAAGTATTTCCTTTGATTGGTAGGAAGTAGAAGAGGAACTGAAGTGGAAGAGAAAGATATGCAACAATGCCACATTTGTGTTTCATGTCTTCTAAATTTGGCAGAAAGGAAGGTGTAGTCATTTCTTGCTGCATTTTTTT